GGGGGGGGGGGGGTGTACTCATAGTCGTGCATGCCGTAGTCGTTAGACCATTGACCTCGCATCCCTACAAAGCCGGGACGGAGCACGCCGGGTTCTCACCGGACCAGGCTCTCACATCACCAAGCGCGAAGCGCCGTGAGGTATTCGGCGAGTCGCATGAAGGGTGCGCTGCATGCTGCTAAGGGTGTTCGGCATGTTGTGCTTACTTCCTTGCGTACGGATGACAGCTGCGTATGACTTAATTTATTTTCTGGTGCTTTCACTTCCAGAGACAGTTATAAGCACTTTGTAACTGCCTCGAGGATGCTTGACCATTTTAACACAACGTGGTGCGATCATCCTCTTTGCGCAGAGTGAGGGTTCTCGACCCCGCACAACATGATCTACTCGACCACCATTATGGTTACCGCCAAAAAAAAAACAGAGGTAAAAAAAAACGGTAACCTGGTTGCCGAGTTCACGAATTGAATTTGCTTGTTTTACAACGTCGTTGCCAAGCGACGAAAACCCAATCCCGATGGCAAACACCGAGGGGGGGGGCAGGGAGGGAGGGAAATGAAATAAAAGTGCGTTGCCTCTTCTCGCAGGCGACGCAACGTCGTGATTTGCAACGTACTCCTCTCAAAGAGCGTGAACCGCTTCAGTGGTGTAGACCAAAGTTTGGTCGGCTGGCTTGCCATCCTACATATACAACGAGCATTACAGAATGGCCTCATAGATGCCGAAGAGCACAATTCGATTCGTCAAAGTTGTGATGTAAGAGACGCTTCAAGGGCGGTTGGCGGAGAAGAAGCCCGCTTCGGTGACAGCATCACAACAAGGGCACCTACAGATCGAAACGGGTTTCGTCTACTGGACACACACCGGGAGGGGCAAACTAGAAACTGTGAGAATACAAGAGGGAGTGGGGGGGGGCACGCAGGCGGGGAGAGCGAGACAAGAACAGGGGGGATATGCATCAAGATACAGTGGGGGGGGGCGGTTTAGGGACCCCTAGTGTCACGATGGAGTGTGGCCGCTATTCAGAGCAGGTCGCCAAACCGAACTCCCAATTGCATAGCAGTTATACTATCGGGGTGCGGCGGTGCCACGTGATTTTGTGGTCGCTAAATAGGGCATGTCGCTAAACAGGGGGTTGCTAAACTGGGCCCCATATGGGGGTTGAAAATAGAGAGATAAGCGCAGTGACGTTCGGTGCTCTTGCAAAAAAATCGAGCGGGTTGACACACCCACATTGGTTTGGGTTTGGACCCTCTCAACTGTGTCCCGTGATCACCTTGCTGCTAAAATTACATCGTTCGTGCGCACGCCTGTCGACATGCGTAGTCGAAGCGTGCAATGTCGGTGGGGGCTTTAAACTTTTGTGGCGTGTTTCACCGTGTGACACACTAACACACACGCCGTTCTCATCCCCAACAAAAACGGGTGGGTGCAGCAGGTGATGGACCTACCAAAAACGCGGTGTTTCGACAGAGCGCCACGGGGGGAATATTTGTCCGTGGTATTTCTCTCCCACTCAATAGACGCAGCAATGATAAAATAAATATCATAACAAATGATGCCACTTTTGAAGAGCGAGTCACGCGGTAAGACCAACTCTTATGGAAGGTCTGCAGCTGCTGAGGTTTGGGTTCGTAGTGAGGCCGACAGGACATACCAACCCTTATGGTGCTGTTCTTTGCCGGAACTCTGCGATTTCAAATCGCTTACACCCCGGAATCGCATTGCCATCTGCGAATTGGAGATGGAGTTTTTTTTTCTGGGATTTGGGTTTGAGGTCGTTGTGCAGGCGTTGTTTCGCACGCGCGGCACCAATTGCACGTTTGTTGGCAGCGCACCCGCGTACACCCGTGTGTTCGAGCGTTGCTGTGTAGGTAACATGTCACCATGTGTATCGTGATGATACAGATCGGATCTTGAATATACAGCATCCACCGATCGACAACCTGTACTGTGTCCACGAGCGAGCCAGGATTGTGTGTATGTAGCTAAATTATGCGTATGTGAAGGAGCATTTGGTGGAGGCAAACAGGACACCCTTCCTTTCTGTCGCTGCTGCTGCACATGCTCTCATCATCTACAAGTACATTTGCTTGTTGTGTAGTGATGTATGTATGTGCTGCTGCTCAACACAGAACAGAGGTAGGTGTGTTTGTGTCTCCCTCACGATCCTACGGCATAGCCGTTGTTGACGTCTATCGTGTGTGCGTATGTGGTGATCCGAAAGGAACCAACCGTAAGTTGGTGGTCTGTCAAGCGTCAGCTGGTTGTCTGTCGAGTCAAAGCCAGTGATTTTCCTTTTCCGACCATAAGGGCGAATATTAACGAAGAGCCCAAAATCAAAATCAAAATGGGCACAAAATCAAAATCTAAGATGCGTTATCTTGGAAAACTGAAAAAGAGGGTCGACCACGTTAATGAGGATAGGAGACAGATGAGGCAAAAAATCAAAAGGACCTGGCGTCAGGGGAAGAGCCAGCAGCGCAGCGGTGATTTTTTTTTTCTATTGGTGCGTTTTACGCTCTTGTGTTCACGTGTTAGTCGATATCTCGCCAAATACTCAACGAGTTGCCTCAAGAACGGTATCCGGAAGGAGCTGGAAACATGGGCTGTTGGGCAATGCCAAGGTTTGGCGCCGTGAGGTGCCGAATGCGCCGGAAAAAAGGTTGTGTTGAAGCAAAAATGCCAACGGTTGGGAGCGGTCACTTCAAGTTGGGTGTTTTGGGCCGCCACGGGTTATGATATCCACCGATAACTTTCCGAAGGAGGAAGCAACAGCAACAGCAACGCCACGCGGCGGGAGGTGCCTCTCTGCTCCATCTTTCAAGCCCAAGGGCTGCTACCGTGGGGTGTCGTGCGTGCAGGGAAAAAAAAATTGGTTGACCCTGAAACATCCACGTCAGAGAGCGGCTAGTTCAAGTTCGCGCCGAATGTCTGCTCACAGTTTAGTTTTTCGGCGATAACTCTTCGAAGGAGGAAGCAACAGCATTAGCAATGCCACGCGACGGGAGGTAGCTTTACCCACCATCTGTCTCGTACAAGGTTAGATGTCTTGGGGTATCGTGAGTGTGGAGGGAAAAGGTTGCAACTACCCTCTCCCGCACGGAACAGCCCGAAAAAGCCGCGCAGCCCTGTTCTGATCGTCAGTCCATTCACCGCTTGTCACGATCGGCATTTTCTCCTCGAGCACCCAACGAGCCGGCCCGTTTTTTGGCTTGCCGGCGAGCAGAGTCTCCTCGCTACAAATAATGGCCATGGTCTCGGTGGTCGGGTGCCGATAGCCCCTCTATGAGCAGTGTGCAGCAGGTTGTGTCGTACACTTGCTTTGCAGCGGCCTCGCGGCAGATGCTCCAAGCCTTCGAAGTCTTCAACTCCTTGCCTCTTTGATTTTGATTTTGATCATAAAAAGTCCCCCGGGAACTTCTTCCCAGACAGAGGAACTTCCATAAAATCAAAGGGCGTCGTCAGGAGGTAGCAGATATTCGACCAATCAGATCTCGATTTTGATTTTGATTTTTTCGATTTTGATTTTTGGCACTTCGTTACAATAGTATACGGCCTAAGGGTTGATCTCAAAAATCAAAAATCGTAGCTGCTCTCTGTTGGCCTCGGAATGTCCACCTGATTCTGTGGTTTCCAGACAAAATGCAGACCTTCCATAAGAGTTGGCCTAAAGTTCGCGGGTCTATCGCTCTTGCTCTCGCCGGGGTTACCTCTCCCACTCATCGCGGTCATATCTCATGATCATCGGGGTAATTCACCCCTCTCCCAATCATCGCGGTCATATCTCATGATCATCGGGGTAATTCACCCCTCTCCCAATCATCGCGGTCATATATCATGATCACCGGGGTAATTCACCCCTCTCCCAATCATCGCGGTCATATATCATGATCATCGGGGTAATTAACTCCTCTCCCAATCATCGGGGGGTAATTCACTCCTCTCCCACTCGTCGATGTAATACCTCCCCCTCTCACCGGGGTAACCAAGAAGCGGGCCACCTTCTCCACACCCTTGGCCTTGCTGCCCCTCCCGAGAAGGCCTGGCCTCCAGATGCTCGTGTGCGGGTAGCCGGCTGATCGCACAAGCTTCCCCCCGAGGAAGAAACATGAACGCCAACAGCAGCAACAACGTTCGGCGGAAGGAAATAGTAAGAAGAGCGAGGCAAATCCCGCGTCTTGACGCATGACGGAGGACCCAAACCTCAAAAGCGGGGTTTCTTCCCGTCTTCAGGTTGCTTGACACGGCAACCAACGACAAAAATAACAACAACGGCAACACCATCAACAACAACAACAACAACAACACACATGATGGCACCTTCTCGCACTGGCCCTTGACCTTCGGGTAGAGCAGCGGGCTCGAAGCCGACGCTCCCTGGCTCGACACCAGCGAGAAGTGGTCCACCCCCGCCACCCGGCACAGTTGGCACACGCCTTCCAAGTAAGAAAAGTCAACTGCGCGGCAAGTGCAGCACAGCACAGGACAAGGCCGGACAGCACACGACAGGACAGCGAAGAAAGTACAAGACATATGTGACGTTGGAGGAGACTGAAGTAG